ATCACACGCTCGTTACCTATTATGTATAGATTCTCTCACGTGTTCTATTCTTGTGTTCTTCCTTGCGATCTTCTATCTTTCCTGATTGATATTACCGCTTTAGGCACATTCTTTTGTTCCCTTTATGGAAATGCTTCCCTCAAGCTCCCTCACATATACCAGGAGCTCTCCCTTCGCATCTCCTCAGTCTTTTCCCTTATACTTTGACTGAGGAGTGAGTCTGTCATGTCCCTTCATGTCCCTTATGTCCTAACGTACTTATGATGCCTCTGTAGTCATATATTAGGTACTACATGCGTAACTCAGTCTTTTCCCTTATACTTTGACTGAGGATCATATATTAGGGAATTATCGCTCTTGCCTTCAGATCCAGAAGTTCATCAGTGACTACCTACCTGGAAACAAGCATGCATTTCCTCGGCTTCTCTGTACTCAACAACGATCCCACTCAAGTACCCTGGCTGCAAGCTGGCTCTCGCCTGCTGGCCGGAGAATCGAAGAGTCGAAACAATGGACAGCTGAACGCTTCGAGTCGGGCAGTCGCCTACATTAGATTCCTTTCCCCCATCTTCAACGGACACTGCTCCTCCCCGCCAAGGGCTTTCACTTTCGCACCCTCTATGATTTTCTGGCCGAGACATTTTAGATAGCCATGGTACACCGGCCCCCCCCCTCCCCTTTTAGCTCGCTTTGACTTCCACTCACCACTACGAACTGCCGCGGATGGACAATACCGTCAACTGTCACAAATGTGTCAAGGACGTCAACCTCAACGTTAGCGTCTCCGACCTCAACACTCTGTACTCTACACAGCCTACCAATCGTCTACCCTCCTATACCAACAGTTGGCGCGGCTCACCAGAGGCAGCAGAACAAAGGTAAGCCTGCTGTTCATGGCTTCGGCGCTCACGAGCAACGATATGGAGCTTAATATCCCCCAGATGACCAAGGGGCCAAAACAATCGAAAAGAATGTACAGGCTAAGCAGGACGGTGCTGTCTGCTCTGCGGATATTTGGCTCACCGAACCCGTCGACGATCACCGGCGACACCCACCGGCTGGCGTCATGCAGCGACTCGGCGCCATTCACCATTGTGGAGGCTTCTGGTCGTCGATCCGACGGCGGATGCGCTCTTATTTCAACATCCTCCCCAGCGCGGCAAAGCCCGGCGTCTACAATCCCGCCGCACTCACGTAGCACCAACCACGGATCAGGCTTGGCTGAATTCGGTCAGATATCCTCACCACATACGCTTGCCATCTTTCCCCCCAACTCGGCCGTTCGCCCAAAGGTCGACGGCGTTCGACGCAGATTTGGCAGCGAGTGGGAAGACGGAACACCCGTTTTCTATAGGGAACACATAATGCGGAAGACTTTGACGTTCGAGCAAGCGCAAAGCCTGCGTATCCAGTTGAACCGCAGGGAGTGGCCGTACGCTCCCGTATTACCTATATCCATGGCAACACTCGCACGTGCCGTGAAACTAGGTGGTTCACCCTCTTTACCCAGAGGGGCGGCGTATACATGATCTCTCGTTTCCTGTATGGTATAGCCCAGAAAAGGTGTTTCTCGACGGCCTCAAGATATCGCAATGGAACAGGAAATCGTTCAATGCGTCCTTGCTATCTTCGAGGATGATGACGCAATCCGGGATGCGCTCAGACAGAGGCGCCTAGTCTGGTTTATCATCAGCGCGATGAATACGCCACACGTTCCTACTCGCACATTGCTATGCAAATGGATTATGTTCTTGATTGCCTGGCCGGAGGGCAAGGCACTCGGCACGCCGGCCATGGTCATGGAAGCGCTGGAGAAGCTTAGCGTCGATAATCCGAATCCCGAGGCGACTACTCAAGGAAGTGGTGGCGACAACCCGTACGACTACTGGTTTCGGAGCTTCGAGGTGACCTTAGCTGGCAGAGGGAAGTTTGGAAGTTTAGTCGGCGCGAGTAAGGATGTGAGGATGGCAGGTCAGGATAGTTCGTTGGACGAATACGCGGTGCGTCGTCTGATGGTCCAGAGGCCTGTACATGCCTTACTAAACAAAAGGCGTCTGACAGTTCTGCAACGTCACAATGCTCATTGCCATTCTGGGGAGCCTTCAGGACCTTGATGCGCGCCTCAATCATCGTGCCATGCTCCAGCTCGCGGGCTTGCCACGCATCACGAAGCTCCTTCGAGAGCTTGACATAGACAGGGTTAACGACAAGCTGAAGATGCTGCAGAGCATTCTTGACGAGGACTTCCGGCAGCTTAGTAAATGAACATGATGATCCTCGCATGCTCCAGAACTCGAACTCAGAGGACGTGAACCCGGCTCTCTCCACCGAGACGGACGACTCAAAGTCCAAAGGCTGCCTCAGCGTGGTCTATCAAGTGTACGGGGCTAGTTCGTCTTTGATCTGCTCAGTGTATGATAAATGTTGGCCCCGCAACTCATTTTTCAACCGATCCATGACACTGAATGTGCTCCGCCGGCGCCGTCGTTGATAGAAATACACCGTTTTTGTTTGGGGAGCCATCGACGTAGAGAAACAACATTGGACGCGACAAGGCTGCAGTGCAGTTCGGGCTTTGCATAGGGATGATGCGGCGCCATTCCTTCGATTTATGATACATGCCGGCTGCAGCAACTGTTCTTCTTCCGTGGACTATCTGAAGCGGCTTGATATGTTCAAGTTGGTTTGACTGTAGATCGTTTGAATGGCGAGAGTAGGTGGAGCCAAAGAATTGTTGGATGAAGCTCACGCGCGTGTCGCCGCTCGCGTATCTACTCACGCGCTTCTGCGTTTCCCGACAACGACCAACCTGACTTTGGCATTGCTTGGCTCACTCTGGCTGGCCAGACGGCCCTCAGACACATACCATGGACAGTTTGTTCGGTCGGAAACGCGACAAGACCATCAATCGTCCACGCCAGATATCCGTCTCCTCCGACCTCAATCAGAACTCTGTGCCTTACGACGCTGTACCACCCTCTAACCGGTCTCCTATACCAGTTGGCACCGTTTCGCAATTGAACCGAGGGACCGTTCAGATTAGCGCGCCGATCACCAACCCGACGTTGACTAATAATGGGACGGAGCTCAACATATTTCAGATGAACAAGAGGCGGGAGGACAGAGAGAGGATGTACGCCATCAGCAGGGAGGCGTCGGCTACATCAACTTCATCGCTCGGACGCTCCAGTTCACCCAGCCCTTCAACGGCGACAAGCAATACGGACGGATCGATGTTCTACAGCGACTCGGCGCCGACCACCGTTTCGGGAGCCTCAAGTTCAAAGCCGAGCAGCGGATACACCTATACGCCGACTTCCCGCCGCGCTCGACAGAGCACGGCATCCACCAGCACGTCTCATTCTCAAGGGCACGGTCGCAAGTCAAGCACGCAAGACTTCGGCCTGATACCCTCCCCTCCCTCCTCTGCCACCCTTCGCCCTGGCACAACCGCGCGCGAAGTCTCCTCTCCCGGTATTCGCGCGTCCACTAGCTCACGCTACGCACCGTCTATGTTTTCCTCCGGATCGCACATGTCAGGCATTCACGGCATTTCTCACGCCTTCCAACGCGGGCGCGACGGCGACGATTACAACCTCGAGCGCCCCGATGACAAGGAGGTCGAACGGCTCTTCCAGCAGATCATGAAAGACCGCGACGTGGAGGGGCTCGATATACCGGTCGAGAAGAAGTGGCACATGGTGTGGAGCCACCTGCACTCGCGCTCGAAGGAGGAACGGACCCGAGAGAAGGCCGCGCAGCTTTACCGCGGGGACAGTGGTGCAGGCGACAGTGTCACCGCGATGCACGTAGAGGGATCCCCGGAGTGGTTCTTACATCGCGTCATAGAAGGCACGATCACGCACAAGCAGGCGCAGAGCTTGAGCGTTAGCTTGAGAAGCAATGAAATTGGGCACGTCGCATACATTATTATCCACCCTGACACACACTCATGAGCTTGATACAGTTGGTTCAACAAATTCGTCAGCAACAAGGGTACCATTGCCCTGGCCCAGCATCTGAACAGAATCGCCCGAAAGAACTCGACACGCAGGCAGCAGGACATCGACGTCGAATACGAACTCCTCAAATGCGTGAAAACTATCTTTAACAAGACGTGGGCTGCGCGCGAAGCGCTTGCTCAACCACAGATCGTCACGCTCATCGTGAGCTCCATGAACACGCCGCACATCCCGAGTCGGAAATTGATATGCGAGTGGATGGTTTTCGTGATGAATTGGGAAGGGGGATACGAATTGCACGCTGCGGAGCTTGTTCTCCAGGCGCTGGAGGCGCTCAGTATGGCGAATCCTAACGCGGAGGCCATCGCGCAGGGAGGTGGCGGGGGAGGTCCGTATGATTATTGGTTTAGGAGCTTGGAGGCCAGTTTGGCCGGGAGGGGCAAATTAGGAAGTCTGGTCGGCGCGAGTGAGGACGTGAAGAGAGCAGGATTAGATAGTTCTTTGAACGAGTATGCGGTGCGTCATTCAACGTCTTTGAGGGTTCGCGCCTTCGTGTGCTGATTGGAGCATGATCACGACAGACCTACAACCTCCTCCTCCTGGTCGGCGTTCTGGAGAACCTCCCGGATCTCGACTCGCGCCTCAACCATCGCGCCATGCTGCAATTTGCGGGCTTGCCGCGCATCATGGAGCTGCTTCGGCAGTTCAACACGGACGAGATCAACAAGGGTCTCCAGAAGCTGCAAGACATTCTTGACGAGGACGAACGACAGTTGAAGGAGCAAGACAACCTCCGCATGCTCCAGGACTTCTCCAACCCGGAGGACGTCTACAAGGCTCTCTACGCCAAGACAGAGGACTCGAAGGCCAAAGATTACTTCCTCAGCATGATGCAGCGGCTCCTCCTCATTCGGGAAGACGGCCCGCCGCTCGTGCATTACTTCCAGTTGATCGACGGGCTGGTGACGGATGTGGTGCTTGACAAGAGGATGGGCACAGGTGAACAGCGGTTTGGGGTGAGCGTGTCGAAGTTGGTGGCAAGTATGAACAATGCGGACGAGGTAGCGGCGCTGGAGCAGGAGGTAATGATGCTCCGCGCTCAGGCTGCAGAGCAGACTTTGAGGAGGGAGGCGTTAGAAGATGAAGTTGCCCAGGGCGGCGAGGGGATGGTGGGGCAGCTCAAGGTGCAGATGAAGCACCTGGAAGAGAAGCTACTAGTGAGCAGGCAGACGACGGAGCGCCTTCAGGGACAGCTTGAGGAGCAGAAGGCGGGGTACGAGGAGCAGATCACGCAACTCCAGGCGCAGATCATGGAGCTGTTCAAGATGCTCCGGGAGATGGGCACGGAGGGTCTAAAGGGCATCGATGAAGTGATCGAGAATGCGGGAGGAGAGGGCGCGATGGACCGGAGGACTCTGGTGGAAGAGCTCAGTAAGCATCTGCACAGAGTTCAGACCATCGACGCGCTGGAGGGTGGTAAGCGGCGGAGGAAGAAGGGCAAGAAGGGTCAAGTGGGTGATGGCGAACAAGGCTGGGATGACAGCGACGAGGAAGGGGATGCAGCGAAGGAGGCTCGGTCGGATGCCGCTGGCGCAGGTGGCCTGAAGAGGAGGCCGCATTCGACTAAGAGAAGCACGACCACCCCCAAGGCGAGATTTTCAGAGGCACCCGGTGGACGCGTCAGCCAGTTCATGGATGCAGATGAGGAGCAGGTTCAGGAGCAGATACAGCAGCAGCTGGCGGCTGGCGTCAGCGTATACCCGCCTCGCGAAGGAGCCATTTCAAGCTTGCGAGGCAAGCGCACTAGGAAGAAGGTTCAACAAGGCGCGATACTGGGTGCTAATGGCATGCTTTCGCCGCCGACAAACGAGGACGGTGAATACAGTGATGGCTCGTCATATGGGCCCGATGATCAGGATGCGGAGAGCGAGTATGGGAGGTCAACCAGAAGCGTGTCGTCTGCTCTCACCGAGGACACGCAGGCGACGACGGTCACCGAAGGCTCGCGCGCGTCAGCGGCCGGTTCGTTAGCGGAGCAGCTCAGGAAGCAATTGTCTTTGCGCGGCAGGCCGCCGTCGGACACGAGTACTGCGCCGTCACCTCCTCTGCCTCCCTTGCCGGAGGAGCCAGCTGCAACCGACGCGTCCGGTGCTGCGCCTCCTCCCCCTCCCCCTCCGCCACCGCCTCCACCACCACCGCCACCGCCTCCCCCGGGTCCTGGTCTCAAAGGCCCGCCGCCGCCGCCGCCCCCTCCGCCGCCCCCTCCTCCTCTTGGCTTTAAAGCGCCGATCGCCTCCCTAGCCGCTGGTCCGCCGCCGCCGCCGCCACCACCTCCTCCGAAGAGTGGATTTGCCACCCCCACTTCCCCTCCCGGTTCTGCGCCAGCTTCTACTCGTACATCTATGCATCTGGGGAACAACTTGTCCGCGCTGCTCGCGGCACGAAAGGACATGCTCATCACGCCTAGCCAGAAGATGAAGCAACTTCAGTGGGACAAACTACCGCAACAGGTTGTCGGCAAGACTGTGTTCAGCGAAGACCTACCGGTAAAGGAGCAAGAGTGGGTTAAGAAGCTCCAATCTGATGGCGTCTGGATGGAGATGGAGGAGGACTTCAAGGCGAAGCAGTTGGTTATAAACTTGATGGGTACGTGTTGATCATAGTACACGAGCTTTCTTGGACCTAACATCGATTTTGCAGCGCGCCAGAAGAAGGCGGAACTCCGTAGTGTATTGGATCCAACCACAAAGAAACACGTTGGTATGTGTTAGACCACCTGACATGCCGCGACGTGCGCTCATTATGCGCAAAGAAATCCTCATCCAAAGAGTCAAGAAATTGGAGCCGGAGGAGATTGCGCGCAAAATCCAATTCTTCGATCCGGAGCTCTGCACTGAGACGTTCCTCGCGGAGCTGAAGACGGTACTCCCCACCCCCGAACAGGTATGTCCTTCTGTATCCGGGCACGTGTACTTAATGATGTGATATATGCCCTGCAGACCGGCAAGCTGAACGTGTATCGAAACGCCGATCCGGAGGAACTGGCCGGTCTTCACATCTCAGATCGTCTTATGGTCAAGCTTATACAGATCGAACGTCTCGGCCCCCGAGTGGAGGGCATGCTGTACAAAGTCAAATTCAACGAAGCATGGACACTATTGGACGAGGTGTGCTCACCTTCTCGCTTACCTGGAGAGCTTCGCTCACCAAGGACTAGGGCACGCGCAAGCTATCAGAGGCATGTGACGCATTGCTTCATGCTTCCCACTTCAAGGAACTGCTCAGTGTATGCCTCTGAACTGTGAATTCAGCTTCTTCCTCTGACATCCCATCTCTAGTTGATCCTACTAATCGGAAACTATATGAATGGTACTGGTATCAAAGGCGGCGCATTCGGTTTCCGAGTTAGCAGTATCAATAAGGTTCGCATTCGTTGTTCGCGATCTCCTCGCGTTGCTCACGTTGCCTGCCAGCTTGTTGACACGAAATCAGTACATAATACAACGCTGCTTCACTTCCTCGAAAGGACAGTCGCCAAGCATTTTCCCGAAATGGAAGAATTCTTGGAAGAGCTCGCCAAGCCTGCCGAGGCATACAGAGGTGAGCTTGAGCCAGACCCCGCTTGACTGCGTTCTGATGTTGTCGCCATAGTCAACTTGCAGGATGTGCGCCGAGGCCTTACAGAGCTTCGAGAAGGCCATAAGCGTATTAAGACCGAACTCGAGGAGCATTTTGCAGATATCGATCCCCTTGACAGATACGCGAAACAAATGTGGACATTCGTCGGACGAGCTGGAGCGCAGATTGCTGACCTCACGGACGATGTTAACGCGGCGGACACGCGGTTCACCGAAGTTGTTCGCTTTTACGGTGAAGACGAGAAGAATATGAACTCGTCAGAGTTCTACGGAATCTTCAAGACGTTTGTAACCTCCTACAAGGTACGCAGGCTTCACTCGTAGATACTCAAAGCCTTTCTAATGTTCTGCGGATAGAAATGCAGAGGAGAAAACCAAACAATTGCAGAGGAACGGACCAGACTGGAAAAGCGGAAACAAGCTGCAGAGCAAGCAGAGCTCGAGCGAAAGAAGAGGCAGGAGGAAGCCAAGGCGAACGAAGACGAGGAGTCCACCGGATACGACGCTTTACTCGACGCGCTACGCAAGGGAGAACTCCCGCGAAGTGCCCGCCGCACACGGCCTCGCGACCGCAACCCAGCTCCTTCTCCATTGTCTCTGGACATTCAAGGTGGCTCGTCTGGAGAAGATGCTGCTGACAGAGCACGAGATATGTTGGCAATGCTCAAGTCCGACGGTCTCGATACCTTCCAACCCAAATCACCAACTTCTGCAACTCCTAATCCATTACGACGGTCCAGGCGCAGGCGCAAGAGCAGCGCCGCTTCTGCCCCAGCGAGCGATACTCTGGGTGACTCTGAGCATGAACCAATGCCCGAAGGTGACCCTGAACCACGCCCTGAAGAGGCGGAGAATCTGATGGCAGATGCCTCTGACTCCACGATTGTCATAGAACGGTGATATGCCCATGACCTGCTTTCTTTTTTCATTTAGGCGCTCATGTATGGCTCATTTCGCACTTTCATTCCGTCTTCTTTCCGTGGACATGCATATGTATTTTTGGCAATAATTTATGCTTTGTGCATCACTGGAGCAACGTTTGTATGGGATTTCCGAGCATAGGGCCGACTGTATATAGGCGTGTTGCAGACATTTCCTAGAGCTTTCTGGAAAATTACGTATGGTACAGATAGTGACGATGATTGACTCTCGAATCAGAGATCAAAACCGGCCGTGGCAGTCGATTAGAGTCACTGGTTATTGTACCGTTCCCGGGCCTATAATCCATGAGTTCAGAACGGCTGTAGTGTTCAATGACAACTCACTGCGTCTTGTGCCTTGTGAAGATAACCAGTGTATCCAGGTTCATATTTACCCACTTCCTGGCCCTTGCTGGCGCCAAGGCCTACGCCCTGAGCATAGATGGCAGTTTGACTGGGCGAGTGAATGAGACGAAGGGCGACGGACATGCAAGAACAACGTACATGGGGTCCACGCGGCCCTCACCACTGGTTCCAAGTCCTGTGCCCTCTTTCCAGCCCATCATCTTCAGCAGTTTGTTCCCGACGTTATTGGCGTCCTCCCCAGGATTCTTCGGTGGCGGGGGCGGGGACGGAGGCGGAGGCGGTCCCTCAGCCGAACGTTTCTTGGCGGGTTGGGGAGCATCGGGAAGAGGAACGTCCGGCTGATTGTGCATGATCCTTCGTTCAAGGGCCCGATCGCGATATTTGGGTTGCTCTTGCGGACCCGGAGAACCGTCTGGCGTCGTGGACTTGCGAGCATTCCGTGCTTTACCTCGCGCAACCTCGCACAGGTTCGGATCTTGTAGATTTTTCTGACCCGTTGTGAGCATCTGCGCGCTTTATGAGTATTATGTGCTGACCTTGTGCAATTCTGACTCTTTACTATGGCGTTTCAGCAGATCCGTCGTCTTGAATTGTCGGGCGCATAGCAAACAGATACGCGCGGTTGGATCCGCATATTCAAGTTCATTCGTGGAAGCATCTGCAGTGGTTATTGCTTTGACGGCGGGTTGCACAGTAGGAGCGGGTGTAGCAGTATCTGCCGTTGAGACCATCGGCTACGGAAGGCGTTCATTAGTGAATACTGAACGGCGTGTGAAAATGGACAAACATACCTGGACCATGTTGATACTCGACGTGCCAGGCTGGCTGAGAGTTTCCTGTACCTGATTCCATTTGTTGATATTGTTCACCACCTTCAATGTTTAGATCAATCAACGTTTTCGATATTACATAGGTGCACGCGCCAACCTTTTTGCTCGCTATCATGGGCGCAACCTTCCGTGCGGCGATGACTACAGTAGAGGGGGAGTGAGCTGGCAGCTGCAAGATTTCGGCGGAAACAAACCTTTGGCAGCTGAAGGATCGATTATTTGCTCCTCTTCGTCCCCATCTTCGGCGCCTGCATCCTCAGCTAGATTGACCGCCGGAGACACCGCAGATTGCTTCTTGTTCGTCGCCAAGCTGAGCTTCGTGGTCGTTCCACCGGCTTTGCCGAAGCTGAGAGTAACGGGCTTATCGGACACGGGCAGCGCGGATGCCTCAGGTACCAGAGGTATCAGATCATCCTCCTCTGAATGCGGAAATAGTCAGTATTAATCGGAGGTACCAGCTCCAGGTACGCACTTTTCGTCTTCTTCTTTTTCTCCTTAGCGGGAGCATTGGTCGTAGCCTTCGCGGACTCCTTTACTTCGAACTCCAGAACGGCAATGGTCGAGTGTTCATCCCAATATCGCACCCAGCCTCCCTCGATACCACCTAGAACCGAGGTGGACGCAATGCACGCTTCATCACGATGCATGGCATCGACCAGCTGAAATGAATAAATCTGCGCGAACGAGGCTGCAACGGGGCGATCGGATATTCGGAAACCGGTCGGATGAACTTGAGGATTCATCGTCGCAGCGAGTACCGCGGACGACGACTAGAGTAATGACTGTAAGCCCGCGATCTCGGAACGCAAGCGGACCATTTACCTCAACGTCAACGAACTCGACGAAAGCAAAGCCCCAGCTCGCGAGAGTATTTTTATCCTTGATAAGTATGATCCTACGCATTCCCTTTGCGCCCTCCTTCCCAGGTCCAGACGAATACTTCATGGCTTGCGCGATCGCTTGAGGGCCCGACAGTGGGTCAAGGCCCCTAAACAACAAGAGGGGAGACTGGGTGTTTCCGATATCCCTTGTTCCGTCGTTCGAATTTTGAGGCCTTCGCGGACGATCCGAGGGATTGACGCTCTGCGAGTAGTCGATCTTGACTCGTCGACCGTTGCTGGGGATCATCCCTGCATCCAGCGCGCTCTTGTACGCCGCCTTCGCGGAAGCACCATGCGAAGCCGGCGGCGGCAGCTGAATGAAGGGAAACTGGGGGTCCACAAAGGCGCGAGCATGCTCCGTCGTCGGGAACTGGGCAAACCCGAAGCCCTTGGAAGCACCTTGCAGCAGCCAGGGGAAACGTCAATCAACGGCGTGCACGTCAGAGATATACGAAGGGGCAAGTGCCTGTTGATCTGTCTCGGATGATGGTCACGGTTTCGATTGTACAGCCTTGCTCGGTCATGAAGGCTTGGAACTGCGGAGCGAAGTGCGCTTCAGCTACGGGCGGTCCAACGAGAAGAAGAAGGGATAGAGTCGACAGACATCCGCCTCGGTAAAGTCTGGGTCCAGTCCAAGGAATATGACGTGCGGGCTTGGTTCACTCGCCGCCATACGCTTCTTGCCTTGCCCGCCACCACGGTACGCGCGGTCGGAGTAGTCATGGTAGTCGTGTCCCGTTCCGTAGTTGCCTTCACCCTCATGGGACTGAGCATCATATCCCTGGAGTAGCTGCTCAAGGATCCGACTCGTCATGTACCATTGACACTCACCCCGTTGTTGAATTTACGGCGCTTTCCGTCCCCGTAGTATTCATCCTCTCGTTGTCTGGCATGACTGGGACCGCCATTCCAGCTTTCGTCATTCCAGTTATCCTTTCCCCTATCCCATTCCCTGTTGTACGCCATATCTATTTCTCCAGACGAGTCTGGGCCTTGTAAACTCGGGTTATCGAAGCCTCAGGTAACGCGATGATGGTTCGGAGGCAAGTCACGGCTGGGAACAACCGGACAGTCAGCACCGCTTTCCTTCTCCCAAGACGCTTTCATCATGGCCGGACATGGTGAGCATAGGTTCAGTGCATGACCGGCGGACACTAACATGCTGAACAGGACCCCCCGTGAGTATGATATCTACTAACAACCTGCATGGCCGTTTGTGACCTTGAAGCAAACTTTGCAGACGCTCAGGCATGACCCCGCCATCGACCGGTGGAACTCCATGGTACGTCCAACTTTCCATGTTTGTGCTACGGCGCGAGATGTCTCACTAACGTGTCTTCCAGAGAGAGAATGTATACCTGCACTACAAGTGGACGCCTCGTGCAACGCGGACCGTGCTCATAGGCGCAGTTGTCATCCCTACCTTGCTCTACTACACCCTCTCTAACCAAGACGTACGTGCACACACACCACTGCTCCTGATCATCATGCATTGTATTAAACGAGCAAATATGATGCTACAGACAAAGTGGCAATGGACGGCGAAGCGCAAGGGCGAGTCGCTCGCGCGCGTCTCCACGCCAGAGGCGGAATAAACCGGACGGACCCACTCTCATATAATTCGCAACCTAGATACGCTTGCCCAATTCAATGGCGATCTTGCAGCCTGCACCCACTACAGTACTAAGAAGCGCATGCGCCGGAGCACGCTGAGAGTGATGTTCGACGGCGGTGTCAAGATGTTCCAACTCGTCATCCCGAAATTCACGCACGACGTCTTTGAGCAGTGGAACGCTCGGATGCGATGAGGGCAAGGACTCGAACTCCTTGAGTTGGCTGCGAGGTCCTGGTGTTAACCATCTTCGAAGGTGTAGAATGTGATAAGTGACTCACTCGTCGTAATGCTCTCCGATAACCGTCTCTACCGCCTCCGTGCACGCCATGGCGGCCTCCCTGCCCAGAAGTGCTGTCACGGCTCCAAGTCCAAACCCTGCTACCTTTGCTACTTCCCATAAGACTGTCGGGCGGACTCGATGTTGGGTCTGCAGTTTATTCATAACGTATAGGTGTTTCTTCTCTTGGTCCCACATTTCCTAAATACATACGCAGTACGTTTGGGGATGTTGATATAAAAGTTAGTTGTTATACGCACCTGAATGACAGGGCCAGCCGAAGGATCCCGCCGCAGCACCGCAAGCTGCCCGCGGTATATCCAATCAGCTGCAAGCTCTCCAGCTTGGTCGACTCGCAGTGCGCTGTTCAAGGTTTCCCTCTGACTAGACGAAAGGCCTTCTGGAGAAGTCGTTACGGCAGCTTCATGGGATCTGGCTCCATCTGTGTACGCCGCACTTGCGAGCGATGCTGGATGAGACGTCGAGAACGTGCGCATTGCGCGCACGATCGAGGAAGGTCGACTTCGAGTTCGTAACATTGCGGTCGCAGACCAATACCTGTAACGAGCAAGGACCGGACTGCCCAGCGTGCGACCCCCTGTGTCCTGAGGCTTGCCTTCAGCGCGAGGTCATGTGCTACAAAACTACCCGTGCCTGAGTAATTCGGGACCGTAAAATAAGATATGCACTTTAGCGCCAGACAACGGACAGGGTAGCTAAAACCCGCCAGCAAAGAGGAAAACCCGCCAAATGGTGCGAGCGAGGTTCGAACTCGCGCGGGGTTACCCCCATTGGGATTCAAGAAATACTTAAATCCAACGCCTTAGACCGCTCGGCCATCGCACCACACATCAGACATGGGGTCAATAATGCATCAGGATTGACATCCAACCACGCATCTAATAGGCTGTCTGTAGAGTAAAGCTGAGCGTGAGCCCGCCAAAGCGAATCCAGTGGTATTCCAGTCGGGGTCATGGAGACAAGCGACTTGCGCATGAGCTTCATGAGGTAAGTATCTTGAACGAAAGCGATGGCAAAAAATGCTTGACGAAGCGCAGTCTTCAACTCAGGTTCCTCGTGATGATATGTGAATGCGTTATAATTACCAGGACACTACAAGATACCGGTCACAGAAGCAGACGAATAATTGAGTTCCAAGGCAGCGCGGCTCTAATATCTCCTCTCGATCCCCTTCGGCGTCCTCCGGCGGCTCCGAACAAGTAAATCTTTGGCGTAGGTGCAGCGCGATTTTAGGTCCTATCTTCCCTTCCGGCGTGTAGTCTGGTGGCTATCCCGTTCCGCGCATGCAGAGGCACATAGTTTGCGCTCCAGGTCAGGAGCGCGCCATCATGGGTATCTGTGATAGCGATCAGATTCTAGTTTTAGTGGCTGGTTATGCCACAACGATCTCGAAAAAGGGTTGGCACGCTCGGAGCGTGCCGCCATGTGGGGGGTCTCCGCCATGGCAAAGCAGAGTCGGGTGGGGGGGGGCAAGGTTGTGATGTGCGTGCGGATACGGGGATGGGATAGCCAGGGGTACGCCGAAATTCTTGAGGGTCATTTCTGGACCAGCGCTTGCTGCTGCCGTCGCCGAGTGGTCTTGCTTGCCGTCTTTAGGAGCATCCGTTGAGTCCCGCCTTGTCCTCTTCCTCGTCATCGCCCGCCTCGTTCACGTCCTCCTCGTCCATATCCTCCGCGTCCTCCAGCGGGTCTAACCAGGCAAGGCTGGCAGGTCGGTCGCGTCCGGTTCTCCTTCCTGACGTGCCGGCGAGTGGCGGTCGGTTTCCCTGAACGTCTAGGCGCAATAGTATGCGTGCTCCGGGAGAGGAGCACACCGTCGATGGTCCCCATGATGGGTTTCGGGGCCAGGTTTTTGGAGCGCAGCTGCGCTCTGTCGATCTCGAAGAAGGATTCGCACGCGGATAGCGTGCTGCTGTGGTCGTGGGTCTCTGTCACGGCGAACGGAGTCGGGTGGGTGGGTTCAAGACCGGAGTGCGCCTGCACACGTAGGAACCGGGTGGTCGCTTCTTCTGCATCGCCGCCTGCCGCCTGCACCGAGCCGTCGCCTCGTGGAACGGTCGCTTCTTCCGCCTTCGTTCGCGCCTCCTCCTCCTCTCGGTCTTCTTCCTCCCAGATGTAAGCCCGGCCTGCCTTGAACACGGCCCAAATGCATTGCCGGTATATGTCGTCCGGATGCGGCAGATTCAACACCGAGAACACCAAGTCGTATGCTAGCGGGTGCCCCTTGACGAAGGCGAGGCCTGAAATTTGTATCGTCAGCGACGAGCTCGATGAGCGCGCTCGAGATGGAATACTCACTGCGTTGGATGCGTGTCACGTGTCGATCCAGACCGACCTACGCCGATCCGCTCCGCCAATCGTCACCGATCTACGCCGATCTTCTCCGATCCGATCTCCGACCCTTCACCGATTCCTTCACCGACGCCGATCCCGACTTTCCCGTTTCGGTCGAGGGCGGGATACGCCTATCACATGCACCGGGCCACCGGCGGCTCAACGCCCCGGTGGTTCCAGATCTTGAACGGATTCAACTCCGATTTTCCTGTTTCCTGTTCCCTTTGTCTGACATCATAGCTTCCCTTTGTAGGCTTTAGTTTCCCGTCGCTTGCGACGGATCTTTCGGTCCGATCTTTCCTCCTCTTCCGTAGATATGTTCCCTTTGTGTTCCATGCGATATCTCTCGTCTCCGTATGTTCCCTTTGTGCGCCGAACGGCGCCTCCGATCTCCGACTCTCCGACTTTGCCATTGTTCTCTTTTGTACATATAAACCGTCGAACTGTACCGTAGATAGTCAGTTCAAATATCGACTAAGCTTCACTCTCTTCCTCCTGCGGACTCAGAGCGCGTAGCAGCCTAGCGCACGAGCTTAGGCTTGGTCCGCATCCGATCTCGACTCCACCAATGCTTCCGATTTATCGACTTCACGCCGACGCGTCTCCGACGCGTCTCCGACTCCGCTCCGACTTCACTATTGAGTTCCTCCCTTCTATTTCATTCTATTCTACGTATATACGTTTCGGACTTCGGTCCTCTGACCCCGTTACCCCTTGTCTGTATCCGATCTTGACAATGCGCTCCTCCACGGTCAGCGTCGCCCACTGTTCGCGGTCGGGCTGCAAGTGGTGGAGCCGGAACGGGCCGTAGCACATCTCCCATCTCACGCATTTGGACATTGTCATCGTGCCTACGCCATGCATGCGGATGATCCGCCTGACGTCTTCCGGCGTGAACTTGTCGACGGCTGCAGGGGAAAGTCAACACGTGTTGTGGATCGATGGATGGTCCGCGGTACTCACGAGTGACAGTCGAAGTGCCGACGGCGCCGTCGTCGTTCAGCGCGGTGACTTCGACGGCGACGGTTTCTTCCTTGAGCTCCTCCGTATCTTTGTTGACGACCGCAGACTGCAAACACAAGTGAGCGACGGAACACGTCCAGATGATCTGAAGCAAATACCTCGTCATCGTCCTCAGGGGTTGTCATGAAGCAGAACGACTCGTCGGAAGCGATGGTGGCCTTGCGGAGGGTTTTACGGGTGATCTTCGCACAGAGGGTGCGCACGCGGCGGCCCAAGGCGGTAACAGGTTTGAAGATGGTGGAAGGCATTGCGATAGGTGTTGTCGCAAGTGGTGCAAGGAGCAAGCGAGGATAGGGGGCGATAGGATGCTCTGCGTGAGGGTTAGAACCAAGTTGCTCTGGAGGTAGACCGCGAAACTCGCCTCATTTTATACGATTTTGAGGATGAAACGGCTGATGATATGGATGAGGACGGCGGCGAGTGGGACATGGGGCGGGAGCGGATGTCGGTGGGTGGATGAAGGATACGTTGCGTGAATGGCTGGCGCAACGATACGAAGCACTGGCGTGACACTAGCGGATATATTTGCCCTCTGCCTGAGGCTTTCCCAATGACCAGGTTGCTCGACAAAGCAAATACTGGTGTAATGCACAATCGTGCTGACCGGTTGGTATGTAGTCATCGCAGAAGCTGGAGCATTAATCCTCGGTGTCTCGCAGCGGACGCTATTAGCCGTACAGTACATCTTGTCGTTCGTACGGTACAAAGGTGTGAGCAGGTGCTGTCTTACGGTCAGTCCTTTCCTCTCGTTTCAGGTGAAAGGGAAGCGGCCCCCCAAGGGCCGTGTGATGAGAAGAGAAGGACAATTTATTTTCGCATTTTTCATTTCTAAATATGGACTTATCATTTTCCTTTCTCACCTTTCCTTTTCCAAAGTCACGTGACCTTCAGTGGCAGCAGTACAGCATCATTGACACTGCCCTGCACTGCCCTGCACTGCCTTGCACAGCCCTGCACAGCCACCGGAGTTTTATTCCGCTTACTCATGAACAATGACTCGTTATTCCTTCTAACTCCTTGATTCATAATCCTGACCCACCTAAGTGGGTCGGTCTTACTCATCCTTGTGCCCTGCATGTGATTCTCTTGTACTATTCTTGGACCATGGACTTGTGTATATAAGACCCCTGTANCTCGCCCTAAGTCCCCATCTCGACCTATTGTGTCTTGGGGACTTAG